CAGCTGGGCCTGGCCTCTTTGCTGCTGGTCATGGTGGTTTGGCCAGTCCACGGGAAGATGTCAGACCAGGCCTTGGTCTGGCTGCTCTGGCTGGCTAGGTGGAAGGTGGGGGTGTACTTCCCGTGTGGACAGGCCTAGGCAGCACCAGCACCTCGGCCAGGAGATGACTGACGTGGGAGAAGAGCTTGGGCTTAGGAGCCACCAGGTCTGGGCTAGAAACTCAGCTCTGCTACTTAGTAGCTGTGAGATCTTGGGCAAGTCAGCTAAGACTTCGCTGAGCCTCTGTGTCCTCCTCTGTAAGATGGGACACACATCCTAGATGTCGTGAGGCTGACATGGCAGGAGAGCGGTGAGGAATGGTGCCCCCGGCTTGGGCTCAGAGAACTGGCTGAGATTCCTCCTTCCTCTGCTTTCTCTGCAGCCCACATGGGACCAGCTAGAGTCGGCCTGGAATCCAAGCCAGAGCGGACGCCCCCCACCCAGCTTGGAGACACCTGCAGCCTTGGAGCTGGGGGAGGCCGAGCACAGCGCACCACACGGCCCCAGCTGTCACTGCAGGGAAGCACTGGCTCACAGCCAGAGGCCCCTGCTCTACCACATCCAGGCATCGGCTCATGGGGTTGGGAGGGTTTGCTGAAGAAGCTGATGAGAGCACAGGAAGGGCTGGCTGGGGGCCGGGGGCCAGGGACACCCACCTTCAAAACTGTTTCCGATTTCCTCTGCAGCTCACCCCTATCTCTGGCTGGCAGCTTGCCCGGATTAGCAGCTGACGTCAGGAGCTGCTAGCTGGGCCAGCCTGGCACAGCCTCGGGGAGGTGTGTGAGGGCCAGCTGGTAGCTGGGTACAGTCAAGGAAGGAGGCACGTGTCCAGCTTTGGAAGTTTGTCCTCCAGAGATGTAGGAAGGAGAGGGGCATTGTGTTAGGGACTCACACGTGATCAGTGTAACACGTTCACCTGGTATGGAGAGAGAAATCACTCCGGGAGGTGGAGTAACTCACCTCAGGCCATGCAGCTGGTCTGAGCCTGGCTGCATCCCACACCATCCAGCTGCTAGGACTGCGGGGGGCCCATCTCTGTGTAGCACCTTCTACACCATGACCTCAGTGCATCAGCCAAGTGCTGAGCACCTACCCCATCCCCGGAGCCTGGGAAGCTGGTGTCCCATTCTAAGATTAAAAAAAAAACAAAAACAAAACAAAAAAAACCCCCAGAAGCCCAGACTTGCCCAAATCACAGCTTAAATTGGTGATGGAGGCAATGTTTGAACCCAGGATGAACTCCAAAGCCTGTGTTCTTACCTGCCACATCCTCGACAAAGATCTTGTAGCTTTGACATATTTTGAGCCCAAATCCCCTATGTTCCCATGGCTGCACAAAATTCTGCTTTGGGTGGGAGCATCTGTATGCAGAGTAGAAAATGCAGTGGGCTAGAGCAGGTCATCTCCACAAAGAAACAGACCTCAAGTTGACAAATTCCAGGGAAGGACCTTATAGGCCCAGTTTAGTCACATGTTCACTCCTTAACCAATCAACAGGGCCCAGGGCTAGTAACCATGGAGACCCCAGGGGGCTTGGGGGTGGCTAGGGCCGACACAAAGCCTTTGCCTAAAGATTCGACCACAGGGCCAAAGGCTCTGTTCAAGTTACCTCTGCTTTCCCTGGCTCCTTGGGGTCCTAGTCCCAACCTCAGTGACAAGAGGGTGTTGTGTCAAGGTTCCACTCACCCTGGGTCCTCTCATAACTGCCCTACTGGTGCCTCACCTCTCTGGCCAGAGGGATAGGCTGTGTCTGCCCAGGGAACTGAGGCATGTGGACGGAGGTCACAAGCCACCCAGAGGACTCAGCTCTGAGCCCAACTTGTGTGTGAGCCTTAAGGGCAAGTCATATCCATTCACTCTTCAGGTCTCAGCTTAAATGCCGCCTGCAGACAGGTCTTCCCTGACCCCTCCGCTTGTCTCTCTCCCAGCTCCCCCGTCTTTTCAGTCACATGACTTAGTACAATCCATCATTCTCTATTTTTGTCTGTGGAATGTTTGTCTTTCCTAGCAGATTGGGAGGGCAGGAGGCACGGCTGACACAGAATAGACACTTAATAAATATTTGCTGAATGAAGTTTCTCTAAACTTTGGTTTCCCCATCTGTACAATGGGGTTAACATCTCCCCTCCACCCCCGTGAAATTCAAGTTAGATAATATCTCAAAGCATGCAGCCCAGGCCGATACAGAAGGTACTCAGGATACTGGGAGCTGGAATGAGTGGCAGGCTGGGCTGGAAGGCCTCTGTAAGCTGTGGGGAGGCGGGAAGACCCAAGGGTGCAGTTGGTTAAAAGACAGAATTATGTGGCACTGCCCTGACCCCAGGGCCAAGAACAGTCTGCCTGCCTTTACCGTCAGGGAATTTGAACTTGAAAATTTGAAACCCACTCTGGGTTTGAATTTCAGCCCTGCTGCTGTTATTTGGGGCATATCACTTTGCTTTTCTGAGCCTGTTTATTTGTAAAATAGCCTTAATGTTGTTTTTTTTTTTAAATCTTTAAGTGGGCTCCACACCCAAAGTGGGGCTTGAACTCACAACCCTGAGATCAAGAATCACATGCTCCACCGACGGAGCCAGCCTGGCACTCTGTAAAATGACCAATTTTTAAAAGCCCACCTTGCCAGCCCGTCTGCAAACTCTAAATGAGTGCTTTTCCCCTTTGAAACAAAATTAGGGACGGTTCCTGGTCCCTCAAGCCACAGGGACCCTGACCGCTGAGGACATGCAACGTGGGGAGGCAGCACAGGGCGGGCTTGGTTGTCAACAGGCAGCTCCAGGCCTCGCTGGGCTGCCAGCCCCACCAGCTCCGCACACAGAGGGAGTAGTAGAGGGAGGAGGATGAAGACGCGGTGCGGGTTGGGGAGGCGGCGGCGGATTTGCACCCTACTCTGCCCCCACCTCCGAGGAAAGCCCCCGGGGTCCCCGGGCCGGCCCTGAGCAGGTGCTGGTGCATCCTTGTGCGTAAACGTTATCTCCTAATTGTGCAGGGGTCTCCTGGCCACAGACAGAAAACTCAGCCAAAGGAGAAAAGGAAAGCCCCCGGATTCCCACCCCCAGGACCCCACTCTTAGTCTTCGTACTTTCTCCTTTTCGCATAGTTGCCGTCCAGGGTCCCCTGTTGGGAACTCTTTTCCTGAGCAGTTCCCGGTCTTTCTAGCCTTTGTACCGCACTTTTCCTTGTTCCAACTACTTTGGATCTGACATTTGTCCTTCCTCAACACACTGTGAGGTAGGAAGGCAGAATTACTCCCATCAGACAGATAAGGAAACTGAGGCGCAGAGTGGCCAAGACTACCCAGCTGGTGATGCAGGGGTGCCTGGGACACACACAGAGGAAACGTGGGAAGAGGGGAGGACAGAAAAGAGAGTCCCACAATTCTCATCTCAAAATATTTAATTTTGTTTTGAAAAGGACACACTCCCGGCTTCCCTCCCTGCCACATCACTCCAGCCCACCAGCAGCGACACATTCGCACGCACACACGCACATAAGGCCAATGGGCTACGGTCTGCTTCTGCCCTCTCCCGCTGGGAAGAAGGGCTTTTCTCCTTGCCTCCTCCACCCAGCAAGGGTAAAGGGGAGAGGGGCCCGCTGGAATGCCGGCTCCCAGGGGAGGACGCAGAGCCCCACACACTCTATCACATGCACTTAGAAAAATAAAACCAAGTGGTGTTCTGACATCCCCAACACCATAAGATAGCAATATCCACCTGGAAGTCATCTTTGCCATTTTCTAGAAAAATTTATTGCACTTAATCAACAGATGTTAAAGGAGCTCTGGGGTGGGGCTTTGCCACGAAAACCAGGGGTTCCTGGCCCTTTGTGTTACGGGGAGCAGAGCTCCCAGGGCCGTGGATAGAGAGCTGCCCAGCACAAAGGGGCCCTCCCCTGCTGGTTCCCAGGTCTGCCACCCCGCCTCAGGCTGGAGGACTGTATGAGCTGCCTGCCCAGGGCCCCAGCAGCCCCCCTCAGCAGGGCGATGCTTACCCAGTCAAGGGTCACTGCCCAGTGCTCTCCCCAACCTCAGGACCCGGACAGGCAAACCCCTTCCTTTGGCCAAGGTCCTCCACAAGGTGCTAGCCATCATGAAAGCTCTCTCTCTAAATATATATATTTCTATTTCTCGATATACATTTATTATATGTATATTCTTTCAACATTCTAGCTCATTCATGATTTGTCTGTTCTGAGGTTGCAATGAGGCTGCCACGAAGCTGAAGACAGGGAGCTTAGGAAGGCATGTGCTTCCCAAGCGATCATAAACTGAACGGGAAGCCATTTATGCTGGCTTCCCTAGCCTCCAGTGCTCCTTGGATGTCAAAGATCTGAGCCCAGGAGCCGCACTCTTTGGCTGTGGGCCCCAAGGAGGGAGTCAAGGAGACTCCCAATTCCTGACAGACACTGAGCAGGCAGCAGCCCCCTCCTGCTCCAAGCACCCGTTTCTTGGGCCTGGGAAGGAGACATGCTTTACCTGAGCGCTCCTCTTCCCCAGAATGTCAACCTTCCGTGGACCCCTCCCATTCCTGTGCCTGCCAGGCTCCTGACTCCAAGGAGCTCTTCTGAAAGAGGCCTGCAGCCACACTCTTTCCAAGTAAGCACTTTGGGAAGGAACCAGACACCCACTGCCTGGCGGGAAGGAAAAGGAGGGCACCAAGCAGGCAGAAGGTGAGACAGAGAGGAGAGACATCAGCCATCACTCCACCCGCTGTGGGGGGAACATGGACACCAACCAGAGATTAAATGTCCATCCTTAAAACAAAACAAAACACAACACAAACCGTATACTTTCTGGCCAAAGAAAATGAAGAGCGTTTAAGCTGGAGGCTCTTCTCCTAATTACAAAATGAGAACTGCCCTCTTGGTGGGTAGCCAGACCAGACAGAGGTGTCCAGGCGGGCGAGCTGCCCGGGGCAGGACACTGACATGCCAGATGCAACGGCCCTGTTGTGGTTACAAGAGAGTGAGAGTGAACACGGTTTTTATAGAACCACAAAGTCAAAATCAGGAGGGAGGGGGTGGCCTCCCTTGGCCTCAGGGACCCTTGTCAAGTACCCAGAAGGGCAGGTGTGCAGGTCCCTGGAGGGCTGTGGCATTCCCCTGGGGTGTGGTCCATGGTCAGTGCATGGTTTCCCCCGGTCTTAACATCTACTGTGAAAAGTCTTTCAGGGTCAGGGCCCGGGACTCGGAGCCACCACTTTAAATAAAGCCAGTGGTAAGTACGACAAAGTGCGCCTGTCACCTCTGACCCCTCTTTACCACAGGCTACCCGCCCTGAGCAAATAAATACACCCATCTCCAGGTGCCCCAGCTGACCACGGTGAGCACAGGCTTCCACGGCTTTCCTCAGTGAATCTTCCAGGTACAGCCAAAGGACGACGGAGTCCGCCAACACACGAGGAAGAAGCAGCTGGGAGGGGCTGGAGCCACAGCTGCGAGGACCTCTGCCCTCCACACGACAGCCCGGCTCATGTGGGTGGCTGGTATCTCCTGGGGACACAGACGGAGGGGCCCCTAGCCCGAGTGAATGGCCCAAGAGCTAAGCTGTGACCCCTGCAACCCCTCACTGGGTCCTGCAGGTTGACACTCCGGGCAGCTCGCATGGGGGAGGGATCCTGAAGCGAGAACTGGGAAGCCCTCTTCTGTTTTTAGGGAAAGTGGACTCTGGCCTGGCCCACACTGGAGAGCAGAGCAAGAAAACAGGGGAACTTCTTGGGAAACATGCCCCAGCTCTCCACCCACAGTGTACGGGGCCATGGAGGCCGGTTTTCTAAACACCATGCGACAGGGCATCCTGGCTCCAGGAAGTTAAGCTTCCTAGGCGAGTGGGGGCGGGGGGTTCCTTTGAAATCCAAGATCTGAGCATGATCACTGGGTAAAAAGAAAGAGCAGGCTCCAAGGCCCAGTGTGGTGGGACAAAGAAGTTTCAGGGGGCCTCCACAAGTGGCCTGGAGAAGAGGAGATGAAAAGGCCTCCCTCTGCACTGTGGTCAAGATTCGGAGACCAGCTGCCCTGGGAGTCCCTCCTCTGAAGCAGATGAAACATGGGGAGAGCCCCTCACCAGGGCCTCCTCCCTGGCTTCCAGGCCTTGGAGCCACAGGAGCAAAGGGGTGTGGGAGCGAAGAACAGCTGGGTGCACTTCGGCTGCAGGCCCCAGACCCACACCCCATCCCAGGCTGTGCAGAGACCCTGCTCCTGTGGCCTGGCCCCCTCTGGGAGGAGCTGCTTTGTCTTTCTACCTCTGAGGGAGATGGGAACGGATGTGTCTCTCGAAGACTTTCTGGGGAGGGTGAGGTGGGTGACAGACACGCCCCACCTGGAAATGCGCCCCGCTACCTGAGAAGACATCGGGCGACAAGGATCATGACTCGTTCTGTGCAGACAGGCTCAATGGCCCAGGCCGGAGACCGGGGGAGAGTCAGGGAAGCCTGAGCCCCCTGTGAAAGGAGCTCTGTACCCCAGAGGTCCCCTTCCGATTCAACTGGGACACCCAAGGATCGAAACTAAGGCTGATTCACCCATCTACGTAGATTCTCTCGCACCCCCACTGGTGAGGAGGCCGGCCCCCCAGAGAAGTCGCCACGTGCGCTGGCCATGTGATAATGAAGCTTGGACGTGAACGCTCCTGGAGCAGGTGTGCCACCATTCGACCGTGACGAGTCATAAGTCCCCACGCGTGCGTGGGGTTTCAGGGAGCCCCCAGGCAGAGGTCTGAGCGGCAGGCAGCGCTGCCCGAGCGGGGGCACGGGTTACAAGGGCCCGTACTTGGTCTCATACTTGGACACGATGGTCTTGCACTTGCCCACCTCCTTGCGCAGCTCTGCCACCTCCGTCCGCAGCGCCGTGTTCTCCTTCTCCAGGAAGGCTGCTCGGATGGTGATCTGGTTCTCCTTCAGGCGCCGGGCGTCCCGGGATCGTTTGGCCGCTACATTGTTCTTCTTGCGTCTCGTCCAGTACTTTTCGTCCTGTGGGGAAGTGTCCTCTGTGGGTCTCTCCTTTCCCCATGAGGGAACCCAACCTTTCCCCTCCTACCAGCACCCCGCATCCCAGATTCCTCTTAAAACTCATCTGGTGCAACCAGCCAAAAGCTTGGACCCCAGGGAAGGAGCTGTGTGCGCCAAGGACACCGAGTGGCCCTGACCTTTCCCCAGGAAGGTGGAATCAGAAACAAAGTCCTTGGTGGGGATGTGCGGTGGAGGGAGGGGGTTTTGCTGATCACTGGCTCTGGGCTACTTCAAGAGAAAGCACTGTCCACCCCTTGCCTCACTTTGGCGTTTCGGTCGTGGCTAAGGGCCTGCACCCTGTGTCCAGCTCCCGGAGTTTAAATCTTAGCTCTGCCACTTCCTGGCGGCGGAACTGTGTGAGCCCCTTAGCCTCCCGCTGCCTCCTGTCCCTCATCGGGCGATGAGGGATGTGGGACAGTAACGGTGACTCCGGCACAGAGCCGTCTGGGGAATAAACGAGTTACTGTGTACAAGGGGCCTATGATAGTGCCCAGCGTATGGTAAGGACCACACAAATGTCTCCCATCTTCACTGTCACGGTTACTGAAGCCTCAGAAACCTCCTGAGAGGCGGGAATGGACAGATGAGGCAGCTGAGGCCCGGCGAGAGCTCTAGGTGGCAAAGTGGAGTTTGAACCCAGGTCTGCCTGATTCTAAAGCTTGGATGAAATAGGTTCCTTTGAGTTTTTCATAAGAAAGGATGGAAAGACTACAAAAAAAAACCCCTCCTCTCCCTCCCACTCTCCGAGTTCCTACAAAAGCATCAGCTTGAAAGCTGCTTGCTTCTCCCTGGGGATGGCAACTTACAACTATCTTTTGTCCTTCAAAGCAAGGGCTTGTTCAACCCTAGTTCCTGTGGCCTAGTGAGCTCTCGCCCGAAGGCTGGGCCAAAGCCAGGGAAGTGGGAACATCACCACGGTGGCGGCCGGTAAGAAAAGACAGAAGCTACAGGGAGTCACACTGAGGCCAAATGTTACCTGACTCCCTTTCTTTCTACCAACTGCTGCAGGATATGGCTCTGTGCTCTGAACTCATGCCTTTCTAAACAGTGTCCAAAGGAGAGAGGGTCCTCCACATAAAATCGAATGGGAGAAAGCACAGCCCCTCAGCTCTTGAACCTTCATTCATAACAGATATCAGGTTACCTTCTGCTCATCGGGGACAAAGACCTTCTTGGCCTTTTTGATCATGGGCTGGGGCTTCAGGTCCTCCTCTGCAAACTTGTGCTTCCGAGGGTTGAAGAGCTCCCCGCCAGGGACACTGGAGAGGACCAGGTCAGCAGGGTCAGGATTGAAGTTCACATCCACCTCCACACAGTTGGGGTCAATGGGACTGGGTGTCTCCCTCTCCTTTTCCAGGGAGGATTCTGAAAAACACAGAGGCAGGTGGTCCTGAAGCAGCCCCCTGGACAGCAAAGACTCATGTCCCACACCCAGACACCTGCTTGAATCTCAAGGTTGCACCAGCCTCTGCCACTTGCAGGGAAGAAAAACCACAACAGCATCAGCCTCCAGGCTGGTATAAGTGATTCAACTCAAGAACACAAATATGGAAAGAATTCTTTCCTGTAGGAACAAAATGCTCAAAAGGAAACAGAGGCCCTCGAAAAAGACAGGATTTTCCGATTGTTTTTTTCCCCCCCAGAAATGTTAAGCAAAACATTAAATCATTATACCCCCTTAACTTCCTGTGGTTTCAAGTTCTCAAATAATGAGAAACAGCTGAATTTCTCTGTGAACTATTATGGGCTAGGCACACAGACTGAACAACAAAATGGCTTCCATTTTTTAATCCCTTGGGACAGATCAGTCAAGGTGCTCATTCAGTCTCGGGACAACTCTCAAAGGCAGAGAGGTGTTAACCTCATTTTACAGATGAAGAAACTGAGGCTCAGAGACACAACCTGGTTGTCCCAGGGTCACACAAATGGTAAGGGACTGAACTACAATTTGAGTCTGGGTCTGGCTGACTCCGAATCCTTGTCTTTGCCGCCCCTTTCCGGCTTTGTAGTGGACATTGGATTTAAGGCACTTTCAGAACTCAAAAGACTGTGCATTACTAGAGATAAGTTATAAAAACAGAACAACATACTTTTGGCGTGCTCATTCAATGCTACTGATAGGAGTACACAAAATATGTGGTCAACAGATACTTGTTAAATATCTACCATATGCCAGGGACTGTCCTTGCAAAGACAAAAGTGCACAAAGCAAGTAAAAATCCTTGCCTTCGTGGAATGTTATTCTAGTGGGGGAAGGCTGACATTACACAAGATAAATTAAAAATATCTACAAGAGCGTTGGATGCCGTGTGGCTATTTGGGAGGAGAACATTTCAGAGTGAACATCAAGTGCAGCAGGATGTGCACAGGCAGGCAGTGGTCTGCAAGAAACAGAGAGGCAGCCAATGTAGCTGAAGTGGAAGGATGGGAGCAGAGAGTAATAGGATTGGTCGAGGACATAAAATACAGGGCTTTTAATCCCCAGAAAGCAGTGGTTTTCAACAGGGGGTGATTCTGTCCCACAGGAGACATGTGACCACACGGGGGGGGGGGTTCCGCTAGCATCTGTGAGTAGAAACCAGGAATGCTGTTAAACATCCTGTAATGCACAGGACAGTCCCTCCCTCCACCCCAGCAAAAAAAATGATCTGGTCCAAATGTCAATAGTCCCAGTGACTTTGACTTTTTCCCTGAGATGGGAGAAGCCCCTGGAGGGTTCTGAGCAGAGGGGTGACATGATAGGTTTTCACTGGATTGTGCACATAAACTCAGTGGATCCTATTAGAGGGGGTTAATTACTAAAAGGGCTGAATACCAGGACAGTGAATGACCAGGGACCCATGTGGTAACTGTGGGAGTACCGCAGCTGCCAAACCCTACACCCGTAAGACAAACAGCCAGGGTGCCAAAGCCTGACAACTAGGACTCCCACACCCTGCTGGGACGGGCAGCCATGGCTGCAAACACTTTCTACATTGTATGGCGGAACCTACAAAGACTGAATGTATACACGTCTGATGACCCCAGCCCATAGAAACGCACAGATGTATTTACCAAAAGACACGCATGTAAATGACCATGGCAGGGCTGTGCATAACCTACAACTAGAAATGCCTCAAACGCCCATCAACCATAGAATGGATAAACGTGGTATGATCATACAATGGAATCATTCAAGCAATGAGAATGAACAAACTGCTATAGGTACGATATAAATTTCCTCACAAATTTGAGGAAAGGCAGCTAGACAGAGCATACATGCTACTTGTGTCTTTTAACAGAAGGAACTGAAAAATTAAAGAGAGGGAATTCTTTCATTTCTACCATGTGTATAATTCTTTATAAAACTTACTTTACCTGCATTGTGGTTTTCTTCTGCCACAGGAGTATTCCATAAGCATGTTTTGTAGATATATTTTGTTAGCGTAAAGAGATTCTGATGCCCATGTAATTTATATGTGTATTATAATGCTAGCTACAGGCACCTGTAAATGTCAGACTATAAACATAATTATAATGGGCAAAACAAACAATATATAATATACACACATATGCAATATACAATTCCATGCATCTTTGGTGATGGAAATAAGGATAGTGATTACCTCTGGGCAGTAATGACTGAATTGGGGTCACAAGGCATTTCTGGGGTACCAATAGTGTTCTCTAACCTGATCTGTGTGGTAGTTACATGGGTGGGTTCACTTTGTGAAGATTCATCGAGCTGTGAAATGGGCACTTCTGTATGCCAAACTTCATCGAGAAGGTTTACTTAGAAACAAAATGGGGCACCTGGGTGACTCAGTTGGTTGAACTTCTGACTCTCGGTTTTGGCTCAGGTCATGATCTCAGGGTCGTGGAATTGAGCCCCATGCGGGGCTCCATGCTCAGCTCAGAGTCTGCTTGATATTCTCTCTTTCCCTCTCCCTCTGCCCGCCCCCTGCACTCTCTCTCTAAAATAAATAAATAAATAAATAAATCTTAAAACAACAACAACAATAAATGAGGCAAATGACACCTAGATTGCCTAAGGTATAAAACGAGGACTCATTTCCAGCTCTGTCCCCTTCCCACACACGGACCCAGCCTTCCGGGACAACCTGATGAGCACAAAAATGAGCTGCCTTCAAACAAGAATTCAGCTGGAATCAGCTGAAGCCTCTAGATCGAATCAGTTTACAGGAGAAAAACAAGGGGCAGAGGAACATGTTAAATGGCACTATAGGGATATGGTCAGAAAAATCTAGCATGTGCAAAACTCGACAGGACCAATGACTCAGCGTCTTCAACAAATAAATTGCAAAGAAAAAAAAGAGGGGATCCCATAGATTACGAAAGATTTAAGAGACATAAGTAAATGATATCTGTGCGTCTTGTTTGGATCCCGATTCAAACAAACTGTAAGACAGTAACATTTTTTAAAAGATTTATTTATTTATTTGAAAGTGTGTGCGTGCATGCACGGGGGTGGGCAGAGAAAGAATCTCAAGCAGACTCCCCAGGGAGTGCAGAGCCCAACATGGGGCTTGATCTCATGACTCTGAGATCACGACCTTGCCAAAATAAAGAGTCAGACACTTAACTGACTGAGCCACCTAGGCACCCCTCTAAACAGTAACATTTCTGAGACAACTTTTTGGAAATTTGAATGCTGATGGATATGTTGTCAATTTCTTATGTAAAACTGGTATTTTTGTTATGCTTTTTAAATGAACCCTTACATTTTACGTACATATTGAAATATGCACAGATGATACAGTATCGAGGATTTTATTTTACTTATTTTTTAAAGATTTTATTTCTTTATTTGAGAGAGAGTGAGAGAGCACAAGGCGGGTGGGGAGAGGCAGAGGGAGAGGGAGAAGCAGGCTTCCCACTGAGCAGGGAGCCCGACGCGGGGCTCGATCCCAGGACATCATGACCTGAGCCAAAGGCAGACGCTTAACCGACTGAGCCACCCAGGCACCCCCAGGATTTGATTTTAAATAATGAGGTGAGAGACTGGAAGAGGTTATGGAATACAAGATTGATTATGAGTTAAGAATTATGAAAGGTGAGTGATGGTTACATGAAGGTTCATATAGTAGTCTCTGACTTTTAAAAGGGCTTCCAGGGGCGCCTGGGTGGCTCAGATGCTTAAGCGTCTGCCTTCGGCTCAGGTCATGATCCCCGGGTCCTGGGATCGAGTCCTGCATCGGGCTCCCTGCTCAGCGGGGACTCTGCTTCTCCCCCTCCCTCTGCTTCTCCCCCTGCTCATGCTCTATCTCTGTGTCTCGAATGAATAAAAAAAAAAAAAAAATCTTAAAAAAAAAAATAAAAGTGCTTCCATAATAAAAAGTTAAATAATAAATAAAAATAAAGCATGAGAATTCCTTGGGGGTGGGTCCCCTGGGTTCCATACCAGCTCCTGGGAGCCATCAGCCTGTAACTGAGCCTGCAAAAACCCTTGTAGGGCTCCCTGAGACAGCAGCCATGCCTCCTCTGAAGGGTTCGTGTCCAAGCGGCAGGAAAACCAACCCATCCACCCCAAGAGGCAAAACAGAAAAAGGACAAGAGGAAAAGGGAGGAGTCCCGGAGATGATGCTTGTCCTGGAAGCAGGAATGCCTTCCTCGTGCCAGTGCCTAAGCAGTACCTGGCTATGGGGTCAGGCATCCGGCTTCAAGTGCTGCCTCCACTACCTACCAGCTGTGTGACCTTGGGCAAGTTACTTCTAGTTTCCTCCCCCTGTAAGAAAGGTATCAGAGTATCAGTCTCCTAAGGTTCTTGTGAGGATTATGTGTTAATGCCTGGCATGGAGTAAGTGCTAAATAAATGTTAGCTGGTACTGTTGTTGTTGTTGTTGTTGTTGTTTGTTGTTGTTATTACTACTACTACTACTACTACTACTACTACTGGCCGAGCTGCCCAATAAGCTGTGGCAAAGTGCATGCAGACGGAAAGAGCAGTGCTGAGGAAAAGCAGCATGGGATTTCTATCCTGCAAAGCCTCAGACTGGAAGGGCTCACTCCACTGTGCCAGCCATCTGCAGCACGCCAACCCGCAGAAAGGCCCCGGCTGCACTGATGTGGCTGCTGTTTGCGTCGCCAGCCTCCGGGGACTGTGCTCAAGGATTTCTCCAGGCTGCAGGCCCACCGGGACCTCCTCTGAGAGAAGGGCCTCACTGGGTGTATGGGCTCAGCAGCCCTCAGTGGCAACTGGGTTTCTCTGGATGGGCCGGGTGGCCAGGCACCCACCTGCGCTGGACGCGGTTTCAGAGGGCTGAAAGACGGCAGTGGAGGACGGTGGGGAGGCCGTGGAAGAGCTGGCCGACTCCTTCCCTTCCAGCTCGGCCACAGGCAGCAGCAGGTTCTGGGCCAGGTGGGTGGGGCTGGCGGGGATGCCATTCTCCAGCAGGAACTCATCCAGATCCATGTACTCCAGGTGGAAAGACTCGCCGTCGTAAGGGATGGTCTTGTCCCAGATAGGGGGCATGAGGGAGGCTGAGACGGCCATGGTGCTGGCTGCCGCAGCCTCGTCTTCCTCCAGCTTTTCCTTCCCTTTTTCTTTATCTGCAGACACAAAATCTGTGCTGAGACACCACACAAGAGGGTAATTCAATCTCAGGAGGTGAGCTGTGCACCTCTCGGGGCTGACTCCTCTCCATCTGAGCCCTGGTGCAGCCCATCGGTTTCAAGAGCCCACTCTGCTCCCCAGTTATAACCCGTTGTTTGACCCAGGCCCACTGGTCTCCTTCAGAGACGGCAGTGTGGCCTCACCCATGCCCGGGCTTCCCAGAGTGTCCTCCACAAGTTCCGGGGCCTGATGTGGTCCCAGGATTAATTCAGAATAGGCTGTGGGACTGGCATCTGCGGGAGAGAGGCTTCAGGGAGGGAATGGAGTTTCTGATTATCTTAGTAATGTTTTAGGAAAGGATATTTTAAGATTCTTCAGACCCAGAACTTTTGTGTTCTCCTGCCCTGTCCCCTCCAGCCACGCTTCTCCACAGGAACCCAGCCTGGGGCTTGAGTCCCAGCTTTGCCACCCACATGCTATGATGTGTGATTTTCGCCACATTACTTAACCTCTCAGCCTCAGTGTACTCTACCATAAATAAGGATAAAGTAGCCTCTTTGGTGGAGACTAAAGATTAACATATTTTTTTAAGATTTTTTATTTTTAAGGCATCTCTGCACCCAGTGTGGGGCTCGAACTTGCAACCCAGAGATCAAGATTCGCATGCTCCATTGACTCAGCCAGCCAGGTGCCCCTAGAGATTAACATTTGAAAGTGTCTGGTAGGGTTCCCGGAACACAGCAGGCATTCGCTATTGCTGTGAGCTCATTGAGGGCAGGGACTATGTCTGATTCATTTCTACATCTCAAGGACCACTACAGGAGCAAGCTGAGGGAAAATGTGCATACTGAATGAAAAATGCTGGGTTTGCAAACTGACTCCCTTTAGCTTTAGCAGATAGAGAGGGCTTGGAGCTGTCTTTTCAGGACCTTTTTCAGAGCAACCATTTCAAGAGACCTCTATCCCTGATTAAGCAGAGAAGACTGAATGCAGGTTTTCTGGGAAGGACAGGGGTGGGGCTGAAGAAGAAAAGATTGTTCCGGAAAACAAAAAAAAACAAAAAACAAAAAAACTTGTTCCCATTCAAAGCAAAACTAACCGATTAGCGCGGCCGGGTTCCCACCTAATTGTCTCAGCCCAAAAGCTATGCACGTAGGTATCCAAGAAAGGGCAAATTAAGAAAAAAAGATGAAAGAAATGTGACAAGGTTAGAAGGAAATCAAAGTGACAGGGAGGCTAATCAGGGAAGTGGGAGATAAAATCATGACAAGTTCATAATGGGCTTTCAAACTGAGGGAGACAACTTTGAACTCTGGATTCTGAAGTAAAAAAGAGAAATCAAATATGATTATGTTAGAAATAAACCAGTCATGCATGGACTCGTAGACCACAGCCAGCCAAAAATCAGCCTGTTGGTCCAATAAAAATGGACACACCCAGTGTGTTAAAAAGGTGGAAGTTTTGACAAACAGAATTTGGTCACAGCTTCTAACCTGAATTGTTGCAACTGCCTACTGTACCAAGCTTTGTTTTTGTTTTTAAAGATATTATTTATTTATTTGACAGAGAGATAGAGAGAGAGGGAACACAAGCAGGGGGAGTGGGAGAGGGAGAAGCAGGTTCCCCGCAGAGCAGGGAGCCCGATGCAGGGCTCCATCCCAGGACCCCGGGAACGTGACCTGAGCCGAAGGCAGACGCTTAATGACTGAGCCACCCAGGTGCCCCTGTACCAAGCTTTGGTTTAAAACCAAACGGGAAGTAAGAAAGCCAAGCTCTGGTGGGCTGGGTAGGCCAGATGGCCTCCCTGTCCTCCTCCTCTGAGGTCCTGACTCTACGTTCTGTTCAGAAACGACTGCGACCCATGTTGGGTGGGATCATGGGGCTCAAAGGAGGCAGGAAAAGGGAAGGGACAGAAAAACAGCCATATTGAAGGACAAGTAACAGTAAGTTCCAGGTTTTACCTGATGTAAGCAATGAAAAAATATATTTTTGAAGTTTTTTTCTTTTTTTTTTAAGATTTTATTTATTTGACAGAGAGAGAGAGACACAGCAAGAGCGGGAACACAAGCAAGGGGAGTGGGAGAGGGAGAAGCAGGCTTCCTGCTGAGCAGGGAGCCCGACGCGGGGCTCGATCCCAGGACCCCGGGACCATGACCTGAGCCAAAGGCAGACGCCCAACGACTGAGCCACCCAGGAGCCCCGAAGTTTTTATTCTTTTAATTTATTTTTAAAATTTATTTATTTATCTTTATAAATTTGAGAGACAGAAAGAGAGCACCAGCAGGAAGGGCAGAAAGAGGGAGAAAGAATCTCAAGCAGATGCCACGCTCAGCAGGAGCCCGATGCCAGGCTCAATCTCAGGACCCTGAGATCATGACCTCAGCTGAAACCAAGAGTCACATGCTTAACCGACTGCACCACCCAGGCACCCCTAAATGTATTTTTAAATAAGCTCTATGCCCAACGTGGGGCTTGAACTCAAGATCCCAAGAACAAGAGTTGCATATTCTATTGACTGAGCCAATCAGGCACCCCAAAAATATTTTTAATCAGTTTTCATAATTTTTTAATAAATTATAATCAGAGTTTTCATTATAAGAGATGATAAAGGACTAGGCCCATCGCACAGTCACAGGGATGGACATCAGTGGTTGCCAGTGATACAGTAAAAAGCACCAGACCAGGCTGAGAGCTCTAAGGCTTAGCTAGGTGACCTTGAGGAAGCATCCTCACCTTCTGAGCCTCAGCTTTCCTCATCTGGGAAGTGGGGATAATATCTTACAAGACTGCTATGGAAGACTAAATAAGATTATGTCAAAGTGCTTTGTAAGCACTGTGCAAATGTAAGGTAGAATTATTGTTATCAATGGTTGATACTTGGTAATCTTGAATAAGAACTTGAGAGATGTGTACACCTGTTCCAGCATCTTGTCTCATCCCCACATCTGGAATAAAGCACTGCCTTCAAAACAAAGAAAAGGGTCTGTGCACATGAGGTTCCAAAGCAGGAGGGGAGAGCCTGGCCTTACCTGAGGTGCTGAAGCTATTTATAACACAACAGTGACAGCCACAGAGAGGGGAACCTCAGAACACACCCAGGAAAGGAAGAAAAACAGCGTTTTTTAAAAAAAATTAATTCCTCAAGACAGGTAATTCACAGAAGGCTTACTCCTTCCCAAATCCTTGAACTACACTGATGGTTCTTAGAAATTCAAAGACCTCAGACTGAAAGCATACCTGAGTGCACCTAAAACCTCACAATAGGTGGCATACCTCCTGTGCCCTGAACCTCATGTTCTCAGACCAAAAAACAGGGCCAAACCTGCTTTCCACACAGTCTCCACGGACCTTTGTGGCCTAGGAAACAAGGCGCAGCCCAGCCCTGCTACAGTGGCCTCAAAGTCTAGGGTCAGCCCCAAACAACGGGGTGAAGGTGCCACAGTGGCCTCATTTTGACCCTCATCCCTCTACCTGCCTCGCCCCAACCTCCCCCTGGGAAGGCACCTCGAATCCCTTCTCCTGACACCCCCTCCCCCACCTCAGCAGCAAAAAATCTCCTGTGTGTACCTAGTAGTTGGGGATACGCACACGCAGGGATGAAGAGAGGTCCTCCTCCCAGAAGTTGGGAAGTCTATATACAAAGACAATCTGCCACCGTATATGAGGGATTCTCAAACTTTGGTGGACTTTGGAATCGCAGAGGTGGGGGTGCTCCTTCAAATGCAGATTCCTGTCCCAGCAGCGGCAGATTCGGTGGGCGAAGGGTGGGGCCCAGGAACCAGCATTTTCAACTAGCATCCCAAATGATTCTGATGCAGGCATCCCCAGAGAAGGCGCCCTGGAGCGTCCTTTAATTGGCAGCTACGAACCCCTTCGGCCTCCTCAGTAACCCCTACACGTCGCGGGCGCCGTGAGGCTGCCGGAATGAACCCCCTCACCACGACCCCCACCCCACCCTCTCCCTCCTGCCCGTTCCCCGCCAACCTCCATCTGACCTAGCCTCTCTCCAGTCACCCCGACCTTCCCTTCCCAATCCCTTGCCTCGCCCTCCAGGCCCCTCCGCAGGACAACTACACCCTGACCTCCGACCTCCCCGGCCACGCCCTCGCACGGCCCCGCCCCTGCAGAAACCCCGCCCCCCGGCGCGCGCAGACCCCCCCCCCCCCCCCCCCCCCGAGGCGCGCCTCCCGCGGGGGGTTCTCCATCAGCTTCTTCAGGACCAGTGGGAAGGAGCCCGGCAGGCCCCTCTCCCCAGCTGCGCGCCCCGGGCCCGGGCCCGGCCCCGCCTGCGGCTCCACAGGCGGCTTCTTTCCGTCGCCCGCGTCCGACATCGTGCCCCGCGCTCTGCTCGCGCGCCTCGCCTCCCCCGCCCGCCCCCCGAAAGGGGCCGGAGCCGTGCGACCCGCAGCAGCTGCCGACACGGGCAGCTACTGCGCAGGCGCCCAGCGGCACCCCCACCTCCCTCCATCCCTACCCCGCCTGCGGACAGGCTCTGGCATATTAATTATTCATGAGGCCAGGCCAGCTTCCCCGGATCGCGGCTCTGGATTGGTCTGCCCTGTAAGTTGGGCAGGCGCAGCCTTCCGGGCCGTGATTGGTTAGGACGCCGGGGTTAGCGCGGCACGTGTGGGGCCAGGTGAGGAGCAACGCCGGAGGCCCCGCCCCGTCCGCCTTTATGTCACCTGATTGGCGCCTGCTGGAGTCGGTGTCATGGGCCTTCTTCGGCCGCAGCCCCTTACCCTCAACCCGCGGTCTCACCTTCGCCTCCCTCTTCATAACCCCCGCCCTCCTCCCAGACCACCGCAGCCGTTTCCTCTTCCTTCTCATCTCAATCTCGCCACCTCCCGGACGCGCCACCAAAGGGAAGCTGGGTAGGGCGTGGCGAGGCTGGCCGGGGGAGCCCATCAAATCGCCCGCTCGGGCCGCGCGGCCTTCCCCCCCGCGGATCACGTGGAGCCGCAGCCGAGTCTAGTAGCGGGGGGAGGGGGAAGAGGAGGAAGGCGCGCGGCAGCCAATGGAGGGCGGGGGCGGGGCCCGGGGCGGTGCACGAGGCATAGCACGTGCGAGGCTGCGGCGGGGAGGGGAGGGGCGGGCCTTTTTGTTCCGGGGACTCTGCCCGGGGTCGTGGGACAGGAACGCAAAACCCAGCGTGCACCCACGACCCAGAGGTTGGCTGAGGGCAGGGCTGCAGACGGCGACCTGCCCTACCCGTTGAGTTGGCCCGAGCTAGCTTGGCCGCTGCTGCGGGGCGGAGGGGCAGGAGGCGGGGTGTCAGGTTCCCCACTGATCCCGGTTTCTGGTGCGGGTGTGGCAGCCAGATAAATACTAGCGTGGAGGGCGCATTCTTGAGGCCCGCGGGTGGAGAGAAAGGGCCGGCCCTGCGCCAGGGCCCGGGTACACGCTTCCGCCCTCCCACTTACTAGCTTACGACCTTGGGAAAGTCCAGTGGCTTCACTTGGGCCTGCTTCCTCATCCATAAAACGAAGGGGTTGGGCTAATCTGTAAACTCCTAAACAGCTCTGCAATTCTGTTCCTCTCTAGGACTTTCCCTTCCTTTTCCTAAGGAAAAACGAAACAGAACAAAATTCCTTTACACAGAGTACCGATTACACACTTTGTGGGCGAACGTCCTCTTCAAACACAAATACCCTCTGGGAATGCCTCAGGAAACCTGTGAAAGTGTAAAATGTGAGAGGGTAGAGGAAGCTAATTCCAAACAGGGCCCAGAACTTTGTACCTCATTAGAGCTCAAATCACACTCTGCTTTGCATCCGAACAGTACTAGACTCTCCCTGTCTAAATTTCCCGGGTGGGGATGGGGGCTTTGGCCTGTTTATCTGGTTTCTCACGCATGAGCCTGGACCTTCCAGCAGTCAGGCTGGGGAACGGTAGAGTGCAGTCCTTGGGGCATGGGATAGGTGTGTGACTGTCCACACCCGCCTAGCTGAAAGCTGTCCTGCTGATGCAATCAGAATTTTGCCATTTTGCCGGGAGTTGAGGAGGAAAAAGAAGTTGGGGCCCTAAGCAGGCCTGGAAAGCAAGAGGTTTGAGGGGATTCTGGGAAATGGCTGGGACAGGCTGATGGCATCTGACTCCAAATTCAAGTTCCTACTGCTGTGCGCGTTACACTTTGGTCAGTTCTGGCTCATACCTCCAGCCGATTGCTTCACATCTCCAGGCCTCCTTTCCTGTTATAGCAAATGGAGTTAGGACAGAGTCTACCTTTGAGGTTTCCATAAGCCAATGCACTGAACAACTGTAAACCTGCAACAAATGGTAGTTTTCATAATTTTACTAGAACTTCATGGGTACAGATCTGCATACAGCTCGTGGTGTATACCGATTCTCTGTTTAGTAGAAATACTAAATTGTGCACAGAAAATCTGTTGCATTGGGAACTTATTGGTGGGAATTACGTATGTGGCTAAACAAAGATATCTTTAGGGGGTGCCTGGCTGGCTCAGTTGGTGGAGCATGGGACTCTTGATCTTAGGGTTGTGAGTTTGAGCACCACATTGGATGTACTTAAAAATAAAATCTTGAAAAAAAAAAAAGATATCTTTAGGAGAAACCGACCTAGAGGTTTTCAGAAACAAATTTCAAAGAGTAGCCCAAGGAAACTGACATGAAGCTTTTTCAAAAATGGCTGGTTTGGCCATGGAGAGACTTGCTGCCTTAGAGTTAAATGTCTATTTTCATGGCGAATGTGACGTTCTTGAAGGGGAAAACAATTTTCAAGGTATTAGAGGAGGATTTGCAATAATTTAACAGTGGAAAGTTATAACATTTGTTTATAACGAGGGTGGGTGTGGTAGGAAGGAGTAAAGATTCAGATTTCTTTGTAAGCTAGTTATCCAAAAGGCATAATGCCAACTCCGTTTACCACCCAGCCTGGAGCAACCAAACTAACAGGCAAGGGACACTTGTGAGGAGCAAGACAAGCAGGTTGGGACTTTAAAACTCAGTTTTGAGGGGCACGTGGGTGGCTCAGTCAGTTAAGTGTCTGCCTTCGACTCAGGCCATGATCCGGGGGTCCTGGGATTGAGCCCTGCATCAGGCTCCTTGCTCAGCTGAGAGTCTGTTTCTCCCTCTCCCTCTGTCCCTCCACCTGCTTATGCTCTGTCTCTCTCTCTCTCTCTCTCTCTCTCTCTCTCATAAATCTTTAAAAAAATAAAACTCAGTTTTGATTCCATTCTCTTTTCGTGTTCTGACACTCCCCAGAAAGGGTTTTTTTTTTTTTTTTTTTCTTTTCTCCTGGATAACCACAGGGTAAATGGTGTGTCACAAACACTGCGGGAACATTACGAACATGTCCTCTCTCGTGCTTGCTTGTAAGCTAGGAGGTTAGCTGCGTTGTGGACTGGCAGCATTCAACAGCACCACCCTGGAGGCGGGGTGAAAGCCATTACATTCTGGGCTTCCCTCTCCAGCTGACCAGAGAAGAGCCATGGCAGCCTCTGTCTACCCCGTCTCCTGTCAGTCAGTAAAGTGGGAATAACAGCGTGGCCTCACCCCTTCTCATAGTGGAGGAATAGATGTTGTGAGAATTAGCTGATTTCCATAGTGTGTGTGAGCCCTACGAAGAAAAAAACTTCACAAAAAGAACATGTCATTACACGGTTAAGACTTTAAAGGTATGAAGTGGTACTTCAGTGTTCTTTAGTGGTAGGGTTTCAACACAGTGACTTTTTGAGGGAAACATGGTTTTGGGGGGCAGGCATGGGTTGGGTCTCCTCCCCTCAGCTGCTGACTAGCCACCTGGCCTTGGGCAAGTGACTTCTCCTAAGCCTCCTGTTTGTTGCTCAGAAACCGTGGTGGATATGCTTACCTCACAGAGCGGTTATGAGGATAATATGTGAGAAGCAATCTCAAGTGCCCACCTGAACAGTGTATGTCATGGAGTGGGTGGGCGACTACCCTTCCCCTTCATTCAGGTTTTGTTGGGTCAGGAGTAGAATTATTTTGGGAGGCTGGGTTCTAGAGTCAAATCTACAGCAGAGACACGGATGTGAAATATTCCATTTTCTAGAGCTAGACTGGCTTTAAATTCTCTTTAGTGCTTCAGAAACCTGCTAACCAACCCAAATTAAAAACATAATTGAGGGGTGCCTGGGTGGCTCAGTCGGTTAAGCGTCAGACTTGATCTCAGCTCAGGTCTTTTTTTTTTTTTTTTAAGATTTTTATTTATTTGAGAGAGAGAGAGACACAGCGAGAGAGGGAACACAAGCAGAGGGGGTGAGAGAGGGAGAAGCAGGCCTCCCGCGGAGCAGGGAGCCCGATGCGGGGCTCAATCCCAGGACCTTGGGATCATGACCTGAGCCGAAGGCAGACGCTTAACGACTGAGCCACCCAGGCACCCCTCAGCTCAGGTCTTGATCTCAAGGTCATGAGTTCAAGCCCCGCATTGAGCTCCACACTGGGCTTGGAGCCTTTTTTTAAAAAAAACTTACTAAAAAAACCCCAACTTAATTGAGCATATGCAGAACAAGTGCCTTTCATTAAGGCACAGTGCTGATTCAGAGTATTATTATTTAAATTTGAATTTCAGAGGAGCTATAACTCCAGCACGGGAGCCTTTGGCCAGATACCACCACAAAGATCCGTTTGGCCACATAGTCAGCATCCAGTAGGACAGCACCTCTTCCAATCTTCTGGGTTTACTCAGCGTGGTGTATGTGTAAGAACAGGACAATGAGAAGGCTTCCATTGAGCTCTCACAAAGCCCAGTTATCTGTGGGCTTTGCCAGTACCCAATGCTGGAGAGCACAAAACTCGGTTCAGGGTAGTAACTCTGTAAATATTTGTTGGCTCGCTTTGTTGGCAGGGCTGGTAGGAAGGTTGACAAAATCTTTCAGAGCCAAGTCCTATACATTTGGAACATTATTATTAAATAACAGTCATTGTGTTGATTCATGGTGGAACCTGGAATAATGAACGTGAGCCATCCTTAATGGCAAGTCCCCCAGCACAAGCCTGGCCCACAACTTGCATACCTGTGGCTGCATAGTTCTGGGCTGTGGCTTGTACCTTGGTATCAGTGTGTTCTAGAGGAGAAGTGGTAGGTGGAGGCTCTTCACTAACTCTTGCCCATCTCTTCAGTACGAGTTTCCTGTTTGGCTTTGCCTCTTGTCCACTCCCAGGGTTCGGATTACAGATGGAGAGCTGCCCCGGGAGTGCCATTTCCAGAGAAGCCATCACCTCCAGCCTCTGCCACGTCTCAACAGCCACTGACAACCACGGTTTCTCCAGTAAAATCTGCATTGATGGTGCAGTGATAGGGTGTGGGCTCTGGAGCAGACCGTCTGGGTGTAATTCCCGCTTTGACTACTTC